GCATGAAGTTATTTGAACAGTAATATTTATGACAATATTGTAGAAAAAAAGAAAAAAAAAAGACCTTGAAAAACCTAAATTGTCCATCAATAGGTGGAAAAAAAATTTTGTTTTAGATTGTAGTATAGCCATCCTATGAAATATTGTGTAACAATTTAAAAGAAGGAGCTATTTGTTTGGCTTTTGATCTTGAACAATTCGGGTTGCAGAGAAACATGTATCACAATTTTCTAAAAATGAAAAAAACTAAAACTTACTCTCCTATAGGCTTGTCAGTATATGTTCACATGAGCGTGGGGGAAAGGCTGGAAGAATACACACCAGCCTATTAATTAACATTCGTGAGTGAAGGGAGGATTAATTTTTTCCCTCTATATATACTTAAATTGCTTCCTTGGTTACAATAACTACGTTTCTTTCTTCTTTCTTTCTTTTTTAACGTTGGGAGAGGACTTTCATATAAATGGCTGGAGTGAGGGAGAAGCTGTGGAGGAAGCTATTGGAGAACTCGGGGCCTCGGGCTGGGCGTTGGCAGGTGTGGGAAGCCAGGCGACGGGCCGGGCTCGTGCTCTGGAGCCGGCGGGGTGGTCGGGGGGCGCAGTCACTGTGAACAGCTGATTTCATTCAAGGAGCTTGTCTAGAGCATCCTCTGAGAAGAGCAGAGAAGAGGATGGCCCTGGGTAGCCTGCAGCAAGAGGAATTTAAACTGCTAGACTATAAAAAAAAACTGACCCAGAGTGTTAAAGGTCAGAATGACGTTCTCCACTCAAGGTTATTTTGAAAACTTCAGCGAGATCCATCGAATTCAGCCTGGGCCGAAGCAGGAGAAAATGAGGTTAATAACACCCAGCCCTCGGTTATTGGCATGTTGCACCAAAGTGCTTCACCTGCGCTATGTCACTTGGTACCAGGTACATTCCCGTGAGGTAGGTATGATCAACCTCATTTGACAGACGAAGAAACCGCGGTACAGAGGGGCTCAGTAACCCGCCCTGCGCAGCTGGTGATAGAGGTCCTGGCTCTTGGAAGCCACCTCGAAGGCGACGTCCTCGCAGGGCGCCCACTGATCCAGACAGGAATGTTCCACTCTCTCCACCCTCGTGGGAATGGAGAGGGGAGAAAAGCGGCCTGCGTGGGGAACGGGAATTGCCGAGTCCGGCGGGTGCTGAGCTGCGGGCTGGGCGGGGCCGGGCGGAGCGGGGCCCGGGGTCCTGATTCAGGCCTTAGGGTTTGGGGCCCAGGCTGACCAGGCTTCACCCCAAAGAAGGGCCCCTGGGGGGCTTCTCTACCCTGTTCTCCTTGGGGTGGGCCTAGGGGGGCACAGGCGACAGCATTACAAAGTGCCCAGGTCCCCAGGATGGAAATGGGGGCGATTCCGGGGTCTAATCTGGTGGCCCCGCGGCTGTGTCCTCGCCTGTCCCTTCCACCCCCCCCCTTTCTTTTCAGGCCAGGCGCGGGGGCGTGAGGGGAGATCGACGACTTGATTTCCTTTGGTCAGTGTATGGAAGGAGAAAGGAGTGGGGCCCGTGGGGTGGGGAGATGATAGATCGATCCAGAAAGTGGACGCCTCCGGGACCACCCGCGCCCTGCCTGGCGCCACCAGGGCACAGAGCCTCGCGTAGGCGGGGGTGGGAGGCGGAGGAGGGGACGCGGCTGTGCTGGGATTCGAGGGAGAGATCGGGAAGGGGGAAGCCTCCGGCCCCGTGTGCCTGGCGCATTCGATTTCCTGGGGCGGGCTCGGGTCGACAGCTGCCACCCGGCGCTCCCAGCACAAACGTCCCAGGTCGCCTGTGGCCCGGAGTGGAAGCACCTCAGAATCCGCAGAGAGAGACTCTGTGGGGAGCTTGTGTTCATTTGCTTCCCCGAGAGGCCTGAATGAAAATAAGTCCCCGTTTCCTTTCTGTCCCTTCCCTCTCGTCCACGGCTCTGTCGTCTCCTGTGTTTCAGATGGTGGCCTCCCTCTGTCCCCTCTAACTCTCCCTCGAAATCTGTTTCCCCGCGCCCCCGTTTCCCACGCCCCATCCTCTTGCCAGTCTCTTCCCCTCCACTTTCCCCTCCCACCGGCCCTGCAGTTCCTCGGCCGAGGCCGGGCTCTGGAACGGGGCCCCCTGACATTGTCACATGAGGATTATCAGACATTACACTCGCGGGACACTCCGTGGCTCGAGTCTATTCGGAGAGGGGCTGGAATGAAGGAGGCCCTTCCCCTCCTAACAGCTCCTCAGGGGCTGGAATGAGCGCGAGGGGCCGCGTGGAGGGAGAGCCGCGGGCGTGCGCGGAGCTGGAGAGGCCGCCGCGAGGTGGAGTCCAGTGCCCGACGGCCACTCGGTCCCTCACCGCCCCCACCTCCGCACCTCGCGGCGGGACATGCTCGCTCTGGGTGATGTCATCTCCCTCAACTGGCAACGGGGCTTCCCGCGTTGCTGCTTAAAAACAATACTATCAACTAACACATGGAGATGTCATCATGATTAAACAGCAAATTATAGTCGACGACGGCGTGATGACAATCTAAACAGTCACCACGAGAAGAAAAGTTCTCTAACGAACCCGATGCGGAAGTCTGCGTTTCTGAGACTGGCGGCCTCGAAGATCTCTCCAAGCGCACGCGAACGGCCTGGGACGGGGCAAGTGACCCGAACAGAGCACCAAGGTTTTGAGACTTCCCAGCGATCTGGGACCGGGCGCGGCGGGGCGTGGAAGGGTCCGGCGTGGGGCGCCCTCCCTCTCGGGCTGCCCGACCTGGGAAGAAGCTGGAACCGCAGAAGGAGCGGGGGGCTCCTGGAGAAGGACCCTGCTGGGACAGAAAACGAGCCCTCGCGACCTCCCCCCCTCGTCCCTTCGGCCCCCCCCGCAACGTCGCCTCCTCCCAGATCTTCCCGGAGGTGGATGTCTAGGTGGGAAGCTCGCGCTGCGAGGGCAGCCGCGTCCTCCGTGATCGCGGGGGTCTCACATCCCCTCGCTTTCTTTTGGCAGGCAAGGGGCCAGGTCGTGCGCATTGGCTCGCCCCCAATTTGGGGAGGAAAAGAGACCGAGAGGAGGCGGCACGCTATTATTGCAAACGTGACGGGAGAAGACCCTCCCTCTTTCTCCTCCCCCTCGTTAAATAGATTTGCATTTAAAATAGACACAGACATTTTAATTTGAGCTCCGGTGGTTGAGCTTGGGTTAGAGTCACACTATTTATTGGTAGACCGAAAATAACCATTGAAACGAAACGGAAAAACCCAAGTATTTTCCCCCAAACAATGAGCGTTTCGGGATAGGTGACCTCCCGGTGCAGGCAGCGCGGATCTTCTTTGGTTTTGACTGAGAACCTGGGATCCGTCCGAGAGGGGGGGATGGGGGGCGGCGGGTGAAACGATGCTCCGGAGTGGCCCTGCGCGGCGCGTGCGTGAACGCGCAGCTGTAATATGTGCTGCCATGAAGAATCGGTGCAGGTTCCAGCGCTCGGGGCGCAGGGACGCATGTGTTGCAGGAATTCAATCCGTGGGGGGCATGCAGATGGGGCTGCGACCCACTGAGTTTGATTGATGAACGGTTACACTAGAGATTGTTTACACATTGCATTTCAGAGCCCCCGCGCACCCTCCCTGCCGCGGGCGGGGGCTCCTGGGTGCGGGAACCTGTCGCAGCCTCCTCGGCGTTCCTACCTCCTCCGCCCTCCCTCACACGTACCCCAGGACCCCCCCGCCAGCGCCCTCCCACCCCCACCTTCTCCAATCCTACTTCGATTTCACTGAACCCAGGACCTCCGTGCAGTTCTCCCTGCCCCAGCCTACTCCGGCCCGCAGCCCCCGGCCCGCGCCTCCTCTGCTCCTGTTTACTCTGGAATGTTTACTCCTCCGTCAGGCCACGCGGAGCCTATAAATAGGAGAGGTGGAAGCGGCTCCGCTGGCAGATCAATAGGGCCCCGTCTCCTCGCCATTTCAGCTGTGCTCTCTTATTAATTATGAAAGGATTCACCTGATCCCTGCCAGGGAACACAGCCCGTCGGCCCCTCTGCTGGAGCCCTTAATGGCGGTTCCTTCGCAAGCTGCCTCTGTTCACCGCAGAGGAAGAGGCCGATCGTGGCCTGCAGGGACCGAGGTGGGGGCCCGGCCTGCAGGGACCGTGGTGGGGGCCCGGCCTGCAGGGATCGTGGTGGGGGCTCCGGCCTGCAGGGATCGTGGTGGGGGCTCCGGCCTGCAGGGATCGTGGTGGGGGCTCCGGCCTGCAGGGATCGTGGTGGGGGCTCCGGCCTGCAGGGATCGTGGTGGGGGCTCCGGCCTGCAGGGATCGTGGTGGGGGCTCCGGCCTGCAGGGATCGTGGTGGGGGCTCCGGCCTGCAGGGATCGTGGTGGGGGCTCCGGCCTGCAGGGATCGTGGTGGGGGCTCCGGCCTGCAGGGATCGTGGTGGGGGCTCCGGCCTGCAGGGATCGTGGTGGGGGCTCCGGCCTGCAGGGATCGTGGTGGGGGCTCCGGCCTGCAGGGATCGTGGTGGGGGCTCCGGCCTGCAGGGATCGTGGTGGGGGCTCCGGCCTGCAGGGATCGTGGTGGGGGCTCCGGCCTGCAGGGATCGTGGTGGGGGCTCCGGCCTGCAGGGATCGTGGTGGGGGCTCCGGCCTGCAGGGATCGTGGTGGGGGCTCCGGCCTGCAGGGATCGTGGTGGACCGTGGTGAGGGCTCCGGCCGGGCTCCGCATTCTGTCTGCGTGTGATTTCTCAGCTGTGCTCAAGCCCAGTTCCTCCCAACCACACCTAGAAAGGACCTCTGCTTCTTAATTCATTATTTTAAAAACAATTTCCCTTTTTTCTTCTTTAAGTAATCGGAATTTCAAGGAAGGAGCAAAATGTCCTAGGGGTGTGTGTGTGGGAGGGGGAGGGGACGTCTGCTTGAAGACGACAGGTTAGAAGCTTTGTGAACAGGTTGAATTTACCTTTTGGCATCATGTGTCCCTTTAGGCACCCTGAGAACTCCCCCGAGAAAGCAGGCTTGGGGTAGGAAACAAAGACGCCCCCATTTCAAACAATAACTTTTATTTTATACTTCTCTATACTTTGTAGCAAATCTTTTTTTGCTGAATTTAATTTATAATAAACTTTTTAAATTACATCTCTCTTTTTAAAATCAAGGCTCTTTTATGTCAAAATCGTTTTTTTAACTATATTTTAGATTAACATTAACATCACCCCCCTTTGTGATCTATACCGTTGGATACTCAGGTATTACTGTATGTGTAACAGCTAAAACAAGAGAGAGGGGGGAAAATAAAGGCAGTGGACGTGGAAAGATGCACGGACAACAGCAGGTAAAGCTAACCCCTCAGTGACCTTAGCAGCATTTTCTTCTGGCAGCCTTTGCCTTTATACCAGAAAGTCCCTCGACCTCTCTCCCCTCCCACTCCTATCCGTAAGACACGAAGCCAACAATCTGTCTTTTTGCTTTTCTTGAGGAGAAATGTGCAGTGGAAATGATCAAAACAAGATAGTGTGGAAGAAAGACGTGAGCGTGAATTATTCACCATATGCTTCCCCCGTGGACATCTCTCCCGAATCCATTCCCCCGCCTTCTCCTCTCCTCACTTTCCTATAGGGAGGGGCCCATCATTTTTCATGTATTAACATGATTAATATAGTAGGTGGCCCAGGGCCGTTCCTGAGATTCTTTTGACAAATAAAAATTAAAAAAAAAAAAAAAAACATGGGGTGGGTTTGCCGTTTTCTTATTTTTGTGTGAAGACGACTAAAGCTGAGGTCCGATTTTGGCTGTGCTCGCTCGCTCACTGATTGGTAACATTTGGCAAATGAAACACAAGAAATCAAACGAAATGAAAGAGAGTGTCAGGATTTCCCACAATCCTATATGAATGTTTTCAGCATCACAGAGAATCACGAGGTCCCCAAAGAACGAATGGATCTTCCTCTCGGTTTCCGGGAGCACGGGGGTGAGTGCGGGTGGGCGCGGGGGGCAGCCGGCGCCGCGCTCAGAAGGAAAGCCAGGTCGCCAGAGCTGCCGAGAGGGCCACCAGCAGCACTGCGAGCGCCGGGAGCAGGGACCCCGCCGCCCCGTTGCCGCTGCCGCAGAGTTCGAATAAGCTGCCTTGGATGTTGAGGTTTTTGGATTCTTTTCTCAGTTTATCCCACAGATCTTTCGCCCCTTCCTGGCAATCCGTAAGGGCTGTGACCGTGCAGCTGTGGAAATCCTCCCAGTATCTGGCGAGGAACAGGACAAAACAGAAGAGGCAGGTTCACTTGGGGCTCCGGGAGGACCCCGGGCTGCGCCTCTCCCCTCGCGGGGCGCCCCCTCCCCACCTCCTCTCCACCGCCCTGGCGCCTGGGCCGCGCGAGGTCGGGACGCGGGGGACCTCGCCCACCCCCGGAGCCGCCGTCCGAGGACTGGGGCCACCCCCTCCTCTGTCTGGTTTCCCCTCCCGCTGCGTCGCGCTGGCACCTCGGCCTGCGCCAACAGATTGCTCGGCCTCCTCTGGGAAAGCTAGGAAAAAAGTGCTAAGCCTTGCAAGCTTCCGCCCATGAGTGCCTCCCAGCTTGCACGACGCGCGGCCCTCCCCCGGCTCTCACGGTCCCCTCCTCCGCCCCTCTGTCGCCCCCGCTCCTCGCCGCGGCACCCCCCCTTCGTCCTCATTCCCTCCCTGCACGCCACCCCTCTTCCTTTTGTTTCCCGTTCTCCCCATTTCCCGTCTCCTTCCCCTTCCCTTCCCCCGGCTCCTCCTCGGCACGCGTCCCCTCCCGCTTCGCTGTCCAGTCTCCGGCTCACGCTCGGCCCGGGGTCGCTGAGTGTCAGGGCCCGAGCCCTGGGGCCAGCTCTGCAGCCTTCTGCTTCTACAGACCTCGCTGCTCCAGGCCTGCGCGCTGGGTTCCTCCTCTTTCCTCCTCCGCAGTCTTTTCCGTGGACTTGGGTCCCTCGGGACCTCCTCGCCACGGCCTTCGAGGTGCAGCGCCTCGTCCCCAGGCCGGGACTGCAGGGCAGGCGCGGTGCCCACCCGCTCGCTCCCTGTCCCCCCGTTCCCGTCAGGTCCCGGAGCCCCGCGCCCAGCTTCCACTTCCTCCACCCAGGCTCAGCTCCTAGCCCCGCCCCCACAACCTTCCTCCAACCTGTCCTTTTTAATTGTCCCCCTTTCTTCTAAAAGCCCAAAATAGATCCCGAGACTAAATATAATCCCAACCCGTGATCGATTCCTGGGGCGCTGTCTCCTTTCGGAGCTGGGTCGATCTGCGTGTCTCGGTAACTCCGGGCTGGCTCCCACCTTGCCCGGGCCCTGAGCGCCACCAGGTCACCAGCGTCTGCCCTCCATGCAATTTGGTTGTAGTTTCTCCTCTTTCCCCTATCCGCTCGCTCGCCTGGATGGTGAGCACGTTGAAGGCAGGCACCACGTTTGATTTATCCTTGTTTCCACCCCCACCCCATCTCCTGGCCAATAATGAAGTGACAAACGTTTGTTGCATTGCCTTGAGCTCAGGTTGTTTTCTAATGATCCCCGCGAGTCTTTAATTTATGAGGACTGGGGGGTCCTAGGGAGCAGAGCTTCCAGGTTCCTCAATTTGTAATAAATAGCAAGACTTAGAAACACCAGGAGGCCCAGAGCACAGCTGTCCCACAGAGCTTCTATATCATTGCACCTCCCAAAGGATGTCTAAATCGCTCCCTTCTTTTTGCATACCCAGGTGGGGACAGGACCCTCCTGGAAGAGGGACACCCACCTGGGGCTAGGGTGAGGTGGGCTTCAGCTTTGTGTTGCCAGCACCACCAACTGAGCGGGGCCTGAACCCAGCTGGGGCTTGTGACCTTAGGGAGACGCCCTTTTCATTTCTGTTTTCCAGGATCAAAGTCCTACTAAAAAATTAAAATAGCTCAGAATAACCAAGTTCTAGTAAATGATGAAGGACTTGGGAGCTACTGTATATGTAACCTTCTGTCATGCCTCATAGGTGCATTCTTAACAACCATCAGACATTTAGAATTAAGTGCCTTTTGTCCTTTTTATGATAGGAAGGAACCAGCCACTTAGCTGCCTTGGCTCCTAGGCATTTAGGAAAGTGTGTAGCAAAACTGACCGCATTTAATTGGCCATAATTTAAACAAATAAGCAACCCCCCATCCTACCCCACCCCCCAATTAGGGAGAGAGGAAGGACTTGACAGTATAAAAAGGATGGCACAGAAAATGGTCACTCCAGCCTCTGGAAACAAGGGACACCTTTTGCCTTGGCATTATCAGAAGGACCATTGTGTGGATGGGGGAACACACCTGGTTTTTGAAAAATAAAAGACAGTGTGTGTTGCAGAGGATGGGGACATTTCTAAGGTCTGCAGCAGCTAAAATGTCGCAGGTCCACCGCAGTAGGGCTCTGCTGGTTACCTCACTTGCTAGTGGGAGCAGCACCTTCCAGCTAAGCTCTGAGAAAATGCCACTGGATCTGACTATGAATTCTTTCTCCTCCCTCTTTGGGCCCTTAGGTGCTCTGGTCTGGGGAGATCTTGCAGATACAGGCAGGGGTGGGGGAAGCAAGGAAAGTGGCTACCCCAAACCTTGGAATCCCCTACGAACTCAGCAGAAATAGTCACCAGCCACCCTGGACATGCCCTTCTTGGGCAAAGTCATTGACATGGAATAAAACATTTCAGCTTCCCTCCTAAAACAGGGAGTACCACACCCCCTGCACCCATATTTTCTTGGTGTGTATCAGAGGGGCATTTTATCAGGGGAAATAGACAGAATAGGCAAGTGACCTCCCCTTTAGGCAAATCTAGTGTTACCCAAAATACTCTTCAAACCAAAATCAACTGTTCTTCAGATAGTACTCGGCAGTCCACTCATGCAGAAAAAGAAAATAACGATTAAGATTGCCTCAAAGCAGAGAGATTTTGCAGCATGAGAAACTGGTGGCAGGGCTCCCGACTCCTGGTCCCTGGCCCTGGGTCCCAGCGCCTTGGGTGTACACATCTCTGTGCTGGCCTGTGAGGCTGCAGGGACCTGAGAATGGGCCCGTCCCTCGTGGGATGATCCTCCCAGGTCGAGGGGTAGCCTTGGGCAGTGCAGGTTCTAACCTAGGGGACTGGGCCTTGGGGCCAGAGGGCTTATCTCGGAGCCTCGGCCTGGGAATAGGAGCTAGAAGGCAAGAATGTGTGGATTCGCCCTGGCGCCGAACGCTGAGCGCAGCAGAGACAGCCCCCAGAACAGAAACTCAGCTGGCCAGAGAGGACACTTACGTGCACACGGTCTTGATGTTCGTCTTGTCGTCCAGGCCCTGCGGGTAGTTGGCCATGCTGTCGCCCAGCTTGAGCAAACAGTCCGAAAAGCCCTTAAAGACCGCATCGCACTTGCCCGCTGCTCTCACGGCCTGCACCAGGTACGCTGCGGGGAGGAGGGGACACCAGTCAGCAGCACCGCGACCTCTCCCTGCAGCCCCACGGCCCGCCCGCGCGTCCCCGACTCCGCGCGGCCTCGCCCCATTCAGCGGTCTCTCCTAACGCCCAGTCTTGGGGCGCGCCAGTGCTAAAGGTGAATGACATACGTGGCCCGAGCATGACTGACCTGCCCCCAACGCCGCGTCTAGTGCAGAAAGTCTGTGCGAGCGGGCGCGGTGGGTGGATCTCCCTCCTGCGTCTCGCTATTTTTTTGTTCCCGTCGCCCCCTCTCCTTATTTCCTTTATTTCTCCTTCTCTCCACTCCCTCTTTCGTCTCCCAACACTTCCCCAGCAAGCCCTGTCACCGCTCTTGCAATGCAATCTTCAATTTCAGAGGTGACAGAGGGGGTCTCGGCAGCAGATTGCGGGGCGAGAACGGGGCGGGGAGGCGGCCAGCGCGGGGTCACGCAGATGACCCCCCCCCACAACGCGCGAACAAGACTCAGGCTCGGCGCCAGGGTGGGCACGCAGCAAACACTGCTGAATGGATGCGTGAATAAATGAAGTCTCTGGAAGCTACCAGCAGTCCCTGCAATGCATTGTGGCATTATAAGACCGATTGCCCACTGTGGATTCTGCCTGTGTTCCCAGTGAGACCCTCCTCCGCCCCACTGGAAAGAGGGCAGCCAAGGCGTTCTGAGACCCAGGAGGGGGGACGAGTGGTCAGGGGCAGAGGCTGGAAGGGGTCAAGGATGTGTGGGCTCCCCACCGCCTCTCTCTGCCGCTCGGCTCCGCACACACCCTTAACACCCCCTGCAAAGTCTGCCACCGCTCCCGACAGCAGCGGGGTGGGACCGTTCCTCTCCACGTCCCAGCCCTGCTGCTGAGCGCGCTGCCCCGCGGTGGGCGGGGAAGGGGGGTGCGCATGGCCTTTAGCTCGGGGCTCCCTCCAGAGGGGACCGCGGATAGAAGCTGGGGAGGCGAGAGGAGGAGCAGGAAACCCAGGCCGCACCGAGACCCTCGCTTCTGAGGCTCCGGACCAGACACAGGCTCCAGGCCGAAGGCACTGCGGTGGCCATTTCTTTCCATCCTGAGGGCCACCAACCCGGCCGGAGGCTCGATACCGAGCGGCCCGAAGCACCCCAGGCTCCAGGGGGGCGCGAAGGAAGCGCGGGTCTGCGCTGTTGGGGCGGGCAGAGGAATAAGGGGTGAGTGTTCTCAGGATCGACACCGGCCCCCGGCGCCCACCAGCCTGGGCGCAGGCCCCTTCCTCCGCAGCGCTGCGGGCGCCGCGGCTCGCGAGTGAACGTGTCCGCCGGTCCCCGAGCGCCCAGCCAGACGCAGAGCGGGGGGAAGGTGACCCACCGAGCCGAAGCAGCCTCCGAGAGCGCACCGTTTGCAAATCGCGGCGGCAAGAGCGAGGCGGACCTTGCGCTTTCTAATCCGGAACGGGAAGCTCTGGGGAAGGGACCGAGGTCAACGTCGACCCCGGCCGGCCGGGGCATAAACGTCCCGGTTCTCCTTAAACGAAACGTTATATACTCTTGCGACTACAGCAATAGCAACTCGAACACTGTCACAGAACGTCACGAATAAACGAATCTTCGTTCTAACAGGACTCAGTGAAAATGAAAATCTTGCTCTGAAATGCATGTTACAAATACAGCTTTGCAGCGAAGAAACGAAACAGAACGCAGCCCACCCTCCCCTGCCCCCGGTCGCCCCTCACCCCTTACCTCCACCCCCAAAACTCGGTGGCGTAAAAGAAGCCTCTGAGATGCACTGGCAATTTTTTAAAGGGGGAATTGGGGCACGCCGGGGGCGGGAAGCGCTCATGTCACGTTATCTTTCCAGGCGTTGCTGGAGAAGACCCTGCACACCGCGCATGTGTGGCTGTGTGCGTGTGTAAAATAAGAAGTCGTGAAAATTTCTGTCTTTTGCAACTGTGACTCCTCGGGCTCTAGCCTGCTCTGGGAGGCTGGCAGCTTGCAGGCGGGAACAATTTTGCCGGCGCACGCGTCCGGGCAGGTCGCAGGTCGCGCGTCCCTAGTCGTCTTCTCCTAATCCCACTTCAACAAGGCTCGGGAGGGCGATCCGAGCTCCTTCCCTGTCCCCTCTGCAGTCCGCATCTTGTGCGGTTCCATCCGTTCATTCATTCGTTCGACCGCTCATTCATTCCAAACTTCCTCCCGCAGCGTCTTCATTCGCGTTCAACACCCTCTGCAACTCCGCGGTCCTCCCCAACCCCCACTTTTCTTGCCAAATGTCAATGATTTGGGACAGCTCCCAGCCATGAATTAATAAAGACCGAGGTTCTGGTGCAGGAAAGGGCAGACGTTCGGGAAAAAATACGCTCAATTTCAATTCCACAGCCCACAAATAGTCATTTTCGGGCCGAATTAATGTGTTCAAAACATCCTTCATGCACAACCGCCTTTTTTTTTAAAAAAAAAAAAAAAACGCCTCTCAAAGTAAGGTTACTTTCCACCGGGAAAACAGAGACCCCAAAACCTCCGATTAAAATCCTTATCTCAAAAACAGCTGCTGTCTCCTGCTCTCTAAAAATTCGCAGGCTAATTGCAAAACGCCACATTCACTTATTTTCAACATTTATAAGGAATTTGCTGCCATTAGAAATATTCTTTACTGCAGCTCTTTGCACTAATGTCAAAGATTCAAAACAACCAGATTCAAAGCATTAAGTCATTTCTTAGAATTAAAGGAAAACGCCAAACATCCCACATCCACACCTCTAAAATCCCTGTAATGTTTTTGCAAAATATTAGATTGTTAAAATCACATCAAATGCATGAAAATCCCACTTCAAATAATTCATTTTAATGTCCAGAGAACTCTAAACCCTGTTTTCTCAACATTTCTCATGAGGAAAAATGTTATAAATTCCCTCTTTTGACCCAAACCAATTCCCTTAAGCACCCCCAATACTGCAAGGATTTATCTGCAAAGAATGCTACAGCCTGAAATGACAGGAGACTACAATTCCCTCTGTCTCCAGAAAACCCGTTTGAAGAGTTTCTATTTTTTTCTCTTGTCCATTCTATTAATAACCTGCTTCACTTTCACTTTTAGACCCCATTAATTATTGTTCTGACCCAGCGTCAGAGAAGGGAGTTTTCTACTGCCCCTTCCCATAACGTTTTCTTCATTCTAGATGGAAAAATGTGCACTTTAAAAAGCTCCCTGACAGCGTAACTGCAACTCAACATTCCTTAACATAAAATGGGGACTAAACCAATCCGTCCATAATCAACCCCAAACAAACACAACACATTGCAAACACTTCTTAACCCTTTCCTATGGATAAAATAACAGATGCCGATGAGTAAAGTAACAGGCAAATGTGCCTAGAAGAGTATATCCACATATATTTGGCTGAATTTATCCTCTTCAATGGTAAGCATGTTAAAATATGTGGCCCGAAGTTCCCTGTCGTTCTCAATTTCAAACACAACACATTGCAAACACTTCTTAACCCTTTCCTATGGATAAAATAACAGATGCCGATGAGTAAAGTAACAGGCAAATGTGCCTAGAAGAGTATATCCACATATATTTGGCTGAATTTATCCTCCTCAATGGTAAGCATGTTAAAATATGTGGCCCAAAGTTCCCTGTCGTTCTCAATTTGCCCCCCAGCCGGGTCTGCGGTGCCCGGTGCAAACGCTGCAGCTAAAATATGGGGGGGGGGAGGGGGAACGGGAGAATGACAAAGTTCTAAATGCAGCAGTCTGAGCCCTGCAAAATCTCTGCTTTCTGCACATAAACTTTCCAGTCCTAGCTGCCTAGCCATCTTGTTCCTGCATTCCCCTTTCAACCCCTCAAAATAATATCCTGGAGTACCGTAGGGACTAAGCATTGTCCCAGCGCGCACCGAACCTGGTCTAATCCCAAAGAGGGAAGCAAAAAAGGAATGCGCGCTTTGGAAAAAGGGGAAAACCGCCTCTGGAGAACTGCCGTCCGCACACAATTCCTGGCGAACGTTTGGAGTCTCTTTCTTTAGGAAAACCCAACCGGACACGCGAGTCCCCCTGAGCCAGTGTCCCCACCCTCAGGAGTTTGCCGGCTTCTCCGCACCCTGGGGCGGCCTCGGGCCAGCCGGTTGCCTCCCGCCGCCGCCCGCCCAAAGCCGGGCCGGGCTGCCACTTACCTATTTGCACCGCGAGGATCAGTGAAATGTATCTGCCGTTCAACTTAAGTCCCATCCTACGTTTAGTCAAACCATTTGCGACCGCAGACCTTTAAATAGTTAGTTTAGAGAACGCGGGGGAAAGCTGAAACATAGGCATTGCCAACAAGTTCCGGGAGCGACGGAGACTTTATGCACCGGGAAGGCAGAGGGAGGAGAAAAAGAGGGAGCGGGGAAGAGACGGGGAGAGAGAGAGAGAGAGAGAGAGAGAGAGAGAGAGAGAGAGAGGCTGAGAGAGGGAGAGACAGAGGAGAGGGGGAAGAGCTGCGAATGGTTCACTCCATTAGCAGGGGGCGGAGGAAGTACAGCCTCACGCCCACGAGCAGGCCTGACGTGGGGGATGACACGGAATGATTTTTTTTTTTTTTTTTTTGTTCCCCAAACGTGTCTTGCTCATCCTCCCTGGAGGCAGGGACCCTGCCGGGAATGCCCTTCTCTAACCAGCTTGCTGATTCAGTGACTCATTGGGTGATTGATCAATTGACTGATTGATTCATTCATTTGAACATTACACAGTGCTTTTCATGGGATTTCACAAATGAATGAATGAGTAAGCAAACATCAGGGGCTCCTCATGCCTATTTAGAGGCATCTTACCCTAGACCCATACAATGATGATGTTCCCTAAGTGCCAGGCCTGCACATTAATTATTCTCCCAATTTACAGATAAGCAAACTGAGTCTCCAGTGAGTCAGTGGGCACTACAGATACAAGCCAGGCCAATGCTGTATTGCCTTTGCTCACTGCTCTTTCTGTCCCTCCTGGGCCTGGAGGTGCAGGGCTGATGCTGCTGGCTCTGACCCCAATCCCTCAAAGGGCTTGTGATCCGCTCTGGCACCAGGAAGATTAAGGGTGATGAGTCACCCGGTCTGATGTCATTCCTGAGGAACAGACGACTTTTGGATTCCCAGCAGAGGCTTGCTTCCGTCCCCGCCTGGAGCCGGGGAGTCCTGGAGCGCCCACTCGATTGTTTCTAGCCGCTCCCCCTCCTCCAGCAGCACAGCAGCGAAGCCAGCCCCCTTCCTACGATGCAGGGGGGTTTCAAGGAACGGGAGCGGGAGAGGGAAGAACAGCTAAGCCAGCTCTATTAATTCGAAAGCTCCCCTCGGCCTCCCGCCCCCTGCACCTGCCTCCCCTCTTTTCCTCCAACCCAGCAGCTGAGCTCCGGGCGCAGCCTGCAGCGCGTGAGCAGAGCCCGGCCCCCTGGCACGAGCACACGTTCGCACACGCGCGCACGCCCGCGAGTCGAGCCTAGCGGCCCCGTGCCCGCCTGCACACGCTGCACGCGGGCGAGTGCACGCACCCAGGCCCCGGGGCTTCGGTCTGCACACGGGGGGCCCCTGGAGTATACACCGCGTGCCCTCTGTGAGCTTCACCGCCTCCGACGCCAGGGTGAGAGGCAGCTGCACGAGACGCAGCGACACCTGTTTTGGGGGGCGGGGAGGGCACCGGCCAGGGGCCTCCTCGAAGACGATTTTCGGATACTAGTGATTTACTAACATTCAGCTTTAGGAAATTTCTGAGGCAAGCGCTCGTGTGCGGGCTTCTTTCTGATCTCGATGCGCCTCTTGGGGTTATTCGTTGGGCCGTACACACACGTATACACACGCACACACGTACATCACGTACGCACACGCAACCCGGACCCACACACACCTGCACTGTCTTTTGAGGCTTGAGCACAGACCCTGTGTAGACGCAGCCTACTCTGCAACGAAGTGCTTCTGCAGCTGCGTTTGTGTTTGGTGCAAGGTGTTGACGATGGCTTGAGTTAAGAATAAAAACTAATCAGACCTATTTCCTTTCTAAACGCCTTTTTCTACACACACACACACAAACTCAAACAAACAAAAAAGGAAAGATAAAAGAAAGAGAAAAGCCTAAATCTTAGCTTCTATAATAAGAAGGCATTGACCAACTTAATTTAAGCCTTTGAAGAGAAAAGACAAGAAAACGACCCCCTCCACATCTTGCAAAACTACATGAGAGAACGTTCAAATAAGCAGAATCGCGAAATGATTAAGGAGATATGGCACCCAATTTGCTTCTGCAGACAGCTTGCTACTCATGCGCCCAGCTAGGCGTCCCCATTCTTAACCCTTTGGAGATGCATAGACAGAAAGGGAGAGAAAGGTGCAAAACAAGTGGAGTGGGACAGTCTGTGCACGGTGAGGGGCTAAGAGGGAGCCGCAGGGGTTCTGACTGCAGCAGTTTGTGACGTGAAGCGTCTGCACTGAGCGGCCCCTTCCCCCGGGTCCCGCAGGAGCCGCAGACACCTAGGTGACTGACTGCCCGGGCCCCGGGGGCGGAGCCACATGGCCCCGCCCCTGGTGACGTCACCAGCCAGCGGGCGGGGCGGCAGGGGGCTCGCCTCCTCGACGTCCAGGGACACGGTGGCGGCCCAGGGTGTTTCCTATTCCTGCGCGCGGAGGCTCCGGGAAGAGCGGAAAACGTGGGCGGGCAGGGGGTGGGGCGGGGGTTGGTGGCGAGAGGGGGGCGTCCCTCGGATCCGCCCCCGACGCCCTCCAATGACAGGGCGGGAGGTTGGTCTGAGTGGC